TACGGGGGATCTTTGTCTTGTGTTTTGGGGGTCATCCAAGGGGGGGGGGGGGAGAAAATTGCCTGGGGCCGTCATTGTATCGCGCCGTCGTCACCGCAGCAGCAGCAGCAGCAGCAGCCTGCCATTAGCCAGCCTCATTAAGGTGTCAGACTTAGCAGCAGTGAGTTGGTGGGGGGGGGGGGTCCCCCGGAACCTACCGCCGTCCCCTCCCACACACACATACCACATACACCACACACACACACCCACACATACCACATACACCACACACACACACCACACACATACCACACACACCACACACACACACGCATATCACACACACCACACACACACCAGACACACACCACACACACACACACAACACACACACCCACACCACACACACACACACCGCACACACACAGCACACACCACACCCAACACACACACATACCACACACATACCACACACACCACACCACACCACACACACACACACACACCACACACACCCCATACACACACCACACACACCACACACCCACACACATACCACACACACACACCACACACTCCACACACACACATACCACACACACACACCACCACATACCACACACCACACACACACCACACACAGATATCACACACCACACCACACACACCACACCCCCCCCCCCCCACACACACATCCCCCACACACACCACCCCCACACACCATAACCCACACCACACCCCCCACACACACACACACCACCCCACACACACACATCACCCCCCACACACACACATCACCCCCACACTCACACACATCCCCACACAACACACATCACCCTACACACACACACATCACCCCCACACTCACACACCATCACCCCACACACACACATCACCCCCTACACACACACACATCACCCCCCCACACACACACACACCCACCACCCCCCACACTGGCCCGCCGATGTTATCACTTTCCGCGCTGGAATTTACAAATTATGTCGCGAGGAATCCTTTAATTCGCGTGGGGTTAAGCGCTCGCTCGCTCGCTCGCGTTGGCGGTGTCCATCACCTCCTCCTCGGTACGCACGAACGTGTGGGAGACCCTCCCTCCCCCCACCACCACCCACATCCACCCACCACTCCCCATTCACCCACCAGCAACCACCACCACCCCCATTCATCCACACCCACCACCATCCACCCACCACTCCCCATTCACCCACACCAACCACCACCCCCATCCACCCATCACTCCCATTCACCCACCACCACCCCCCATCCACCACCGCCCCACCACCACCCCATATACCCACCACCACCACCCCCACCACCACACCACCACCCACCACCACACCCCATCCACCACCGCCACCCACCACCACCCCCATATCCCACCACCACCACCACCACCCACCACCACCAACCACCAACAAACCACCACCAACCACCACCCCCACCACCACCCCCATCCACCACCGCCACCACACCACCTCCATATACCCACCACCACCACACCACCACCCACCACCACCCCACCACCCACCACCCCACCCACCACCACCACCCACACCACCACCACCACCCATACACCCACCACCCACCCCCACCACACCCCCACCACTACCACCACCACCCCCACCCAACACATTTTTTTGTTCGGGAAAAACAAGCGAGTCGCCACCGTGCCATTATATCAATTACAGCAAAAACGTGGAATTACTGGGGGATTTCACGAAACGCCGCCCGCCGCCCATCAGCCAACAATTCGAATGTCACGCGCCAGGCTGCCACCGCTGCCGCTGTTGCCGAGAGAGAGTGGTGGCGCAGCGGTTAGCGCATCGATCTGTGGAACCCACGGTGTCCAGGAGATGTTAACTACCTCGCCTGGTATGCAGGAGGTCGTGTGTTCCACCATCCTCATCATCACCACGGTGGCTAGGAGATGTTAACTACCTCGCCTGGTATGCAGGAGGTCGTGTGTTCCATCATCATCATCACCACGGTGGCGAGGAGATGTCAACTACCTCACCTGCTATGCAGGAGGTCGTGGGTTCGATCCCGACCCTGACGCCTGCTGTATATTTGGAGTCTGTGTGTCTCTCTCTCTCTCCCCCGGTGTTCGCGTGGATTTGGTTTCCCTCCACATTTAGAGTCAACGTCACGCGTTCAGAGTATTTGGGCTGCTATAAAAAAAAAACAATTGTCCTTCCGAAAAAGAGCGATACAGCTCAGCGGCCTTACCTGGTAAAATATAAAAGCACACAACACTGTTTAGTCGTAGTAAATAGTCATAATTAATGTTTTTAAGTCTGTCCTTTGGTCGTCAGTGACTGTCCCACTCACCACGTGTCTCTGTGTCTGTGTGTCCGTGTCTGTCCATCCATTTGTCCACACACCCCGTGTGGACATCCGTTGGCCTACCCACACGCCATGTCCATCCATGTACCCGTCTGTCCACGTGTCCCTTCTTCCACGTGTGTCTGCCCGCGTGCGTCCATCCGTCCGTGTGTTCGTCCGTACATGCGCTTAACCAATCACCACGTCTGTGCGTGCGTCTGTCCCTGTCCGCGTGTCCGTTTTACAACGTGTCTGTGTGTGGTCCATCCATCCACGTTTCCTCGTGTCTATCCGTGCGTCTATCTGCCTGCGTGTTCGTTTATCTGTGTGTCCGTCTGTCTGTGTGTGTGTCTGTGGTGTGTGTCTGTGTGTGTGTGTGAGGCCATCCATCCATTACCTCAACTACCGCCACGTCCGTCCGTGCGTCCGTTCACCACGTGTGCGTCTGGTCGCGTGCGCGTCACGTACCCGTCCACCTGTGCGTCCACGTGTCCGTCCATCTCGTCTCGTGTGCGTCACGTCTACCTGTGCGTCCACCTGTGCATCTACGTGTCCATCCATCTCGTCTCGTGTGCGTCACGTCTACCTGTGCGTCCACCTGTGCGTCCACCTGTGCATCCACGTGTCCGTCCATCTGGTCGCGTGTGCGTCACGTCCACCCGTCCGTGCGCGTGCCCGCCGCCGACTTTCCCCGCCGGCCACAGAAACCCTTCCTGGAGCTGAAGCTGAGCGACACTCTCCGTCGCTCGCGCCGTGCCCCGGGCCTCGACTGCAGCGAGGCGTCCAACGAGTCGCGCTGCTGCCGCTACCAGCTCATCGTCGACTTCGAGGCGTTCGGCTGGGACTGGATCATCGCGCCCAAGCGCTACAAGGCGAACTACTGCTCGGGCCAGTGCGAGAACATGTTCCTGCAGAAGTACCCGCACACGCACTCGTGCAGAAGGCGAACCCGCGTGGCTCCGCGGGTCCATGCTGTGCACACCAAGATGTCGGCCATCTCTATGCTCTACTTCAACGACCAGCAGCAGATCATCTTCGGCAAGATCCCCGACATGGTGGTGGAGCGATGCGGGTGCTCATGAGAGAGAATGAGGAGGATGAGGGAAGAGGAGGAGGAGGGAGGTGAGAAAAAAAAAACGGGGGAAAAAAAAAACGAAAGACGCCGCCGAGACTGAGAGATGGGAATGAGGTGGTGGTGGGTTTGGGGGGGGGGGGTGCGAGGGGGGCCGGCGTGGGGGGATTGGTGGAGGGGGGGGGGGTCGCGGTGGTTATTTTCTCCCCCCACGCCGCGAAATTTTTGTCGCCCGGCGCCGGTCGACACGACGATGACGATGTTAGCTGGTATACAAAGAAGTTTTAAAAGAGGTGGTTAGTTTTGGTGGGGTTTTTTGGGGGGGGGAGGCGGGGCAAGAGGGGGGGGGTGTTTGTTGAATTTTGTACATTGCTGTTGTTGTTGTTTAATTTGTTGAAGCGGAGGTCACGGGTCAGCCCCGAACGGGTCACGTGGCCCGCCACCAAACGGCGGCTCGCTCGGCGGATTGTAACGAGCTCCCTTGGTGCCCCTGGAATCTCCCGAACCTTCCCTTCGACTGCTATTTCTTTTGCGGGATGGGTGGCACGGGGTGCTGGAGGTGGGGAGGGCAGGGAGGGAGGGGGGGAGTTTATATATATTATCTTTTGTTTTCGAAGCGGTCTCGTCTGCTGCTGCTACTGCTGCGAAGTGGACGCCGGGCGTGGAACTCCGACGACGACGAAACGAAAATTCAAATTTCGTATTTTTTTGAGTTTTTTTCGGGCGTTTCGATTTGGCTGTTCTTTACAAACAGGTAGCATGGGCGCGATGAAAATGCCGGCCGATTTGGTGGGGTGGAAAGAGGTTTCAGATTTTTCTCGATCCGTCTCCCGCAGAGGCATTTATTCAGAATCAGATCCTTTCAGCAAGCAGAGTGTCCTTATTGAGACGGGTGGAATTCGATGACCCTCGGAGCTTCTTGTTTTCTTCACAATGTTCACTAAATCGAAGCCGTTGTTTGGGATGTTAAGAAAACAAAATACACGTACATATATAATTGTGCTTAAAATAACACGCCTTCTTTGGCCACTCTGTATGCCCTGGCCGCGGCTGAGTGTGGGCGTAATGGGGGGGGGGGGTGGGGGAGGATCATGTGAAGAAAAAAAACTAAACCCACACACACAAAATCACGGCGCGGCTTGCGCCAATTTGCCGAAGTACGTTGGTTGCCTGTCCGTGCGATCTTCCGCAAAACGGTCAAGTTAGAAGAGAGACACGAGAGGACGTCCTGACTCCTGACTAGGCACCTCTCACATCGACGTACAACGGACGAGTCCGCGGCTCTCGACGACTCTGGCGCTGGGGGTGGGTGCGAAACGACGTCTTCCAGAGCGGCTAAGGACGGTGGCGTATGACCGACCTCTGCCTTCCCCGCTCCCGTGAAACAAAAAAAAATCCAAAGTCCGGTCTGTTCGCACCACCCTTAACCGCACGCAGCGTGGACCTGTAGCGTGACCTTGGGGCCTGGGGGAGGTGGGTAAATAAAAACTCAGGGGGGTGGGGTGGGGGGATGGAGGGGGTGGGGGAGCACGACGACACAGGCAATGTTAACCTCTCGTCCCGTTCCGATGACGTACGCAGCTTGGCAGGCCGTGCGCAGCAGCCGTCGGCGCCGAAATCTCGCCCGGTCGGACTTTCTTTTTTTTATTTAGAGAGGCGTAGCAGCAGCTGCAAACAGCAGCAGCAAGCAGCAGCAGCAAGCAAGCAGTAGCAGCAGCAGGCAGCAGCAGAAGCAAGCAGCAGTAGCAGCAGTAGCAGCAGCAAGCAGCAGTAGCAGCAGCAGCAAGCAGCAGCAGCAGTAGCAGCAGCAGCAAGCAGCAGCAGCAGTAGCAGCAGCAGCAAGCAGCAGTAGCAAGCAGTAGCAGTAGCAGCAGCAGCAAGCAGCAGCAGCAGTAGCAGCAGTAGCAGCAGCAGCAGCAGCAGCAAGCAGCAGTAGCAGCAGTAGCAGCAGCAGCAGCAAGCAGCAGCAGCAGCAAGCAGCAGCAGTAGCAGCAGCAGCAAGCAGTAGCAGCTGCAAACAGCAGCAGCAAGCAGCAGCAGCAGTAAGCAGTAGCAGCAGCAAGCAGCAGCAGCAGTAAGCAGTAGCAGCAGTAAGCAGTAGCAGCAGCAGCAGTAGCAGCAAACAGCAGTAGCAGCAGCAGCAAGCAGCAGCAGCAGTAGCAGCAGCAAGCAGCAGCAGCAAGTAGCAGCAGCAGCAAGCACTAGCAGCAGCAAGCAGCAGTAGCAGTTGCGTTTCAAAGACGTCGTTTCTCACCTCCCAGAACCGTAAGCGACGCGACCGCCTCGCCACTCTACGATGGCTGGCGCTGAGCTGTGCTGCCTGCCCGCATGGCCTTGGGGTCTCCTCGTGCCCTTGAAGGCACGGGTACGAGTTTTGCCAGTGCTCAAGCATCCTTAGAAGAGAGTAACCCTTGCCACGCGCCCCTCCACCCCCCTACGTCTTGTCGTCACATCATCGCCGGGGTGTTAGACGTCTCGACGGCAAATGTGGCATCGTGGGAGGAGCGCCGTCTCGCGCGGCGTCACGCGCGGGATGTGATCCGCTCAGCGGAGGTGCTGACGACAAAACAAACGAAACACAACAACAGCAACACAAGGAGCCATAGATGAGATGGCTGGGAAAAAAATCCCAACGCAAGTAAGCAAACGCGAATTAGCGGCGTAAACGTCACGTCGCTCAGATTGCAGTGGTCAACACATTTTTCTGGCATAAGGTATTCCAACGGTTCATAAGGTAATTTTGGGGTGCTGATTCTAAATCTGGCATCAGTTTTTGTCTATCACATCAGGTTTTTGAGATATTAAATATTGCATTTTCAATAAAAACTGCAGAAGAAAATATTAAATAAATGTTGATATCTACATAAAATGATGTTATAAACACACTATCCTAAAAATACAGCACCATCATTTAACACTAAAGCAGTCACTGACTCGCAACAACTTGCAATCATAAGTGACGGAGTTCATTTTGGGTAAAATCAATGAAAATGGGGTATGCCGATAGCATAAAATGAGATGTGATAGAGCAAATCTGAGATCAGATTTGGAATCGGCACCCTGAAATTAGTCTAAAACAGCTGCAAAAGTCCAGGCCAGAAAAAAATGTAATTTTTTTGTTGACCAGTGTAATCGAGACACCAACGCCACCCACCCAACCGATCCACGGACAGCATTTTTACCGCGTGTTTTCCGAATTATAAGATGCCCAGGAGTTTAAGTTTTGCTTTTCTCCCCTACCGCCCTCCCCCCCACCCCCCCACCCTGTATTTTAAAACAAATAGTCGGGCGTGCATCTCGACTATTTGTTTTTATCTTCTTGGTTCTTTCGGTAAAGTCACGTAGAAGGGAAATAATAAAATAATAAAAAATAAAACATAAAAATATAATTAAATTTCGATTTAAAGCTTTCGTGACTGCAGGGATTCATCTTCTTGGTTCTTTCGGTAAAGTCACGTAGAAGGGAAATAATAAAATAATATAAATATTAAACAATACAAAATTCTCACGACGTTTCGACTGCAACACAAGCAATCGTCATCAGGTGTGAAATCCACAGCAAGAACATTTGAAACAAGTAAACCCGTAAAAACAAAGTTTTTCACTCTAAATCCTTTATATGCGTGGCGGCTAGAGTCCTCTCGTCTTCTGGCTTGAGATGGCTGCCACCTATGCGTCAGATGATTGTCTGCCACCATTAAGCAATTGGTAATTAAATATTTAATTGTTTTCCCTAAACAGTGTAAAATTTTGGAGAAAAAAAATTCACGAACATTAATTGTCTCGCACAACGAAAAATATCAGCTCGATTGGATCACGGAAGTGGGTTAAAAACGACCGAAAGATTTGCACGGTCGTAATCAAGCAAGCAAGCAAGCGAACTTAATATAAAGGATTTAAAAAGTGGCGGTTTTTCCTAACGTCAGCACCACGGACAGCAATTTCACACCTGATGATGATTGCTTGTGTTGCAGTCGAAACGTCGTGAGAATTACGTATTGTTTAATTTATATTATTTTATTATTTCCCTTCTACGTGACGTTACCGAAAGAACCAAGAATATGAATCCCTGCAGTCACGAAAGCTTTAAATCTAAATTTATTTGTTTCCATTCAATTGTTCAAAATCTTCTCGAGGACATCGCTACCCCACCTCTCCCTGCCCCCGCCTGGTCGAAAGCAGCCCGTTCGTAATCATCGACGGTGAAGGCTTTCCATCGCACCGTATTCACCCGACGAAATGACCCCACCAACGTTTGAGGTTGCGACAACACCTTCCCCCGGAGTGTCTTATAATCACGGTTTATACGGCGATGACGACACCCTCCCTCGATAGTAACGCCACCCATAGCGGTGTGCGAGAAAATTCACTCCTCGCCACCGGGGCCGGTTTAAAGTTCCCTTCCTCGTGTGCTGGCCACGGCCAAGTTGGGGATTTTATCGGCGCTCGAGGCGCCTACCGCGAAAGTCACGCGGCGCGTTTGTCCGCGACGATGCCTCCACACGTGGCCGGACCAACAAGGCCACTAGAAAATCCCCAGGAGTTTGGCTCGCGGTAGAATCCGACCCCTTGAAACGGCGTCTCTTCGCTCAGGATTCAAGAACCCGTGCCCTGTGCAGGAACGAAACGGGCTGACAACTTTTTTTTTGTTGTTGTGTTGTTGAAGTTCTTCCAGAGGGGAAGTTTTTTTTCTGTTGGTGTTTCTTCTGTTTGCTGCAGTTGTCGCGTTTCATGTGGACGGTTATTTGAGCGCGCCAGATGAATCCGTGCCATCGGCAACCTCTTCCAAGTCGGGCTGGAGGGCGCTACTTTTTCTCTTTTCACATTTTATTTTTTCCGCAGACACCCACACAAATTGCGCCAAACATGGCTGGCTCGTGCCCACCGGCGTGCGGCTTGGTCGGCTGGACTAAAAAAAATGGGAGAAAAAAAAAACGGCGCCGATATGTTTGCCAAAACGCGTTCGCTTTTGCGAGGAAATGCTCTGCACAAAAAAATATTGTGATAACAACACCGCCACAAGCTGGCACGTTACGACGAGACCTCTCTGCCGACGTAATCACTGTACCGCCCCCCCCCTCCCCACCACAGAGGCCCGCGGTGGCTGCCAAGGGAGCGTCTTGAATCGAGTCACGATTTATCGAAATTGTGGGTGGGGTGGGGGTGGGTGGCGGCGACGGCGGGGGGCAAAATGTACGTTGAACTTCTTTCGCGCCGTACGTAGCCAACCGTGCAAATCGGAGGTGCGGGTGGAAGTACAACTAAACACAGCAAGCAGTTCTAGGAAATGAGTTTTCAACCTTGATGATTCAAAAGTGCATAGGCACCCAGCGGCTTCCTAAACTCAGAAGAAAGAGAGCGTTCCAGACGGCCGCAGGAAGCGCGTCTGAAAGCGCCGCGCGATGCGGTGAGGCCGTCTTTGTTCGATGGCCGAGCCAAAAGCTGTCGCTGCTGCTGCTGATGATGCTGCTGATGATGATGATGCTGATGATGATGCTGCTGATGATGCAAATATAACCGGAGTTTGCATGAAGATGGACGATGGGAGGGGTGGATTGCAGCGCTTGAGCAGCGCAGGCGATTGTGGTGGATCGAGTCCCTGCCACAGGGTGATTCAGTGTTGTGACCAGCAGTGTGGTGGTTGGTGGTGGTAGTGGTGGTGTTCGTGGTGGTGTTCGTGATGTCCTCACTCAAAGTGGGTGGAGGAATCGAGCGAGTGAAGTTGATGCTTCCTGCTACAAGAGAAGAAGTGAAAGAAGAAAAAAAGACGTTTGCCCGAGAATGTTGAAACGTCTTGCGGTGCTGCTGTTCAACGCTTTAGCCACGAAGGGGCTACGCATTGTCACTGCCTGCCTGGAACGAGGAGGGGGGGGGGGTACGTTCAGGGCCACGATGCATCCTGCGAAGCTAAAACAACTACGAGCAGCCACTTGAGTGTCGATGTGCGGCGTCGAGATCTTAGGACCCGCCCGACACCAAACCGGGCACGCCATCGATCAAGGAAGGGGGGGGGGGTGGGGGGGTGTTGAGCCCACGCGGTCTTCCCGGGGGCAGAGCTGCTAGCCGAGCCCCCCCCCCCCGTGGCCTCATCACGGGGCCTACCAGTGCGGCTGCCTGCCACGGCCCACGGCCGCGAACCGTCGCCACGAGTATCGGCAAGCCGCGATGCGATCCCCCTGTGAAGGCGGGGGAGGGGGAGGGAAAGAGGGAGGGGAGGGATGTTTGGCGAGCCGACTTTGGCCGCAGCGTTCCCGCGCGGCACGCAACTCGGAATTCGGGGACGGTTCGCTGGCACGGTCACCCCCAGCACAGCGGCGCACGCTTGGCACCAGCGGCAATGGTGGTGGTGGCAGCAGTGGCAGTGGTGGTGGCAAGAGCGGTAGGTGGTGGCATCAGCGGTAGTGGTGGTGGCATCAGCGGTAGTGGTGGTGGCACCAGTGGTAGTGGTGGTGGCATCAGCGGTAGTGGTGGTGGCACCAGTGGTAGTGGTGGTGGCACCAGTGGTAGTGGTGGTGGCATCAGCGGTAGTGGTGGTGGCATCAGTGGTAGTGGTGGTGGCATCAGCGGTAGTGGTGGTGGCATCAGTGGTAGTGGTGGTGGCACCAGTGGTAGTGGTGGTGGCATCAGCGGTAGTGGTGGTGGCATCAGTGGTAGTGGTGGTGGCATCAGCGGTAGTGGTGGTGGCATCAGTGGCAGTGGTGGTGGCACAGCGGTAGTGGTGGTGGCACCAGCGGTAGTGGTGGTGGCAGCAGGGTAGTGGTGGTGGCATCAGCGGTAGTGGTGGTGGCAGAAGTGGCAGTGGTGGTGGCAACAGCGGTAGTGTGGTGGCAGCAGTAGCAGCAGAAGCAGCAGTGGCAGCAGCGAAAACGGCGGCAGTGGCAGCAGCAGTGGCAGTGTAGTGGTGGGCAGCAGTGGTGACAGCAGCAGCAGTGGCAGCAGGCAGTGAAGCAGCAGCAGTGGAGCAGCAG